TCTGGCAGGGGACGTGAGAAACAGTCTGAATGTCCAGCAGTTGGGGACAACAGATGGCGTCCCTCAGAGCTGCTGGCGTTGAAGGATGTGCCTGGATATTTAATCCCAAGGGAAATGTTTACAGCTGATTAGGGGAAAGGAGGTTATAATTCAAATGATTCTTTTTTTTTTTTTTTTTAAGTACATACATAACAATTTTCTTTTTTTGAGACAGTCTCACTCTGTTGCCCAGACTGGAGTGCAGTGGTGCAATCTCAGCTCACTGCAAACTCCACTTCCTGGGTTCAGGCAATACTCCTGCCTCAGCCTCCCGAGTAGCTGGGACTACAGGTGCGCACCACCATGCCCAGCTAATTTTTGTATTTTTAGTAGAGACACGGTTTCACCATGTTGACCAGGATAGTCTCGATCTCTTGACCTCATGATCCACCCACCTCGGCCTCCCAAAGTGCTGGTATTACAGGCGTGAGCCACCGCACCCGGCCTTGGGGTGTTTCAATCTTGACTCACTGCAACCTCCGCCTCACAGGTACAAGCAATTCTCCTCCCGTCTCAGCCTCCCAAGTAGCTGGGGACTACAGGCTCACGCCATTATGGCTGGCTAATTTTTGTGTTTTTAGTAGAGATGGGGTTTCACCATATTGGTCAGGCTGGTCTCGAAGTCCTGATCTCAGGGACTACAGGCCTGAGCCACAGCACCAGCTGAATTTTCATTTTTAGAAGATGAAAAGAATTCTGGAGCTGGATGGCGATGACGTTTGACGCAACTTTATAAATGTATTCATTCCTCTGAACTATACGTTTAGAAGCGGTTAGGATGGTAAATTTTATGTTGTTTGTTTAAACACAATAAAACAACTGGAAAAAGAAAAAAGTATTAATGCTTATTTAAAATTCAGACACAATTGACTCTAGAATTTAATAGAAATGACTCTGAAACAAACACAAAAATGCATTGGCTGTTTATTCACCACCACAATCGAGAGAGGATATTTTCATCTTCTGTTTACCCTTTTCCAGTGAATCTCCACCCAACTTCTTGTCACTATATATCTTCTTCTAGATTTGCATTACATTTTAAAATAAGTAATAAGTGTAGCAAAGATCACCAGAGAGGAGCATTTCCACAGATAACAATAGCCACCCTTCTGCTAAGTGCTTGACATGTGCCCAGCAGTCTCTAGCTTATACATACCGATCACTTGATAGATGGGGATGTGTTGTCTTTTTTTTTTTTTAAAGACGGAGTTTCGCTCTTGTTACTCAGGCTGGAGTGCAATGGCGCGATCTCGGCTCACCGCAACCTCCGCCTCCCGGGTTCAGGCAATTCTCCTGCCTCAGCCTCCTGAGTAGCTGGGATGACAGGCACGCGCCACCATGCCCAGCTAATTTTTTGTATTTTTAGTAGAAACGGGGTTTCACCATGTTGCCCAGGATGGTCTTGATCTCTTGACCTCGTGATCCACCCGCCTCGGCCTCCCAAAGTGCTGGGATTACAGGCGTGAGCCACTGCGCCCGACCCAGGGGATGTCTTTTCCAATGTTCGTATTAACCCTGTAAATTAGGCATTCCTTTTGCTGTTTTACAAATGAGAAAATGGAATCCCAAAGACGTCTTCCTTTTTCTATCCTGTCATAGTCTCTGCCAATTTCTGGGCTAGCTGGGTGGCCTCATTTTGGAATAACCATGCATATAGGGGGAAAAAATGGGTGTTGGTGAATCAGAAAGTCTTGGGGGAAATAATGCATGTTCTAGCAGGTTCTAGCAAAAATACTGGGCTGAGATTCAGAAGCCCCTGGGTCTCAGCCTTCGCGTAGCCAAGACCCAGCTGTGGGGTGTGGCCTCGATCACCTCAGCGTTCACAGCTCTCTTCATCCCACGCGATCCTGCAGTTCTTATTTTCTGATAAAGATTTTTACCACACCCAGAAGTTTCTCCAACGACAAAATAATTTTCAATCGCAAGTTGGGGGCAGGGGGTTTGGGAGGGGCTCCAGGGAGTGCTTATGTAGCAGAATGCACATCTGACAGCCTAACGTACATTTCTAACTGTAAAATGAAAGGAAAACTATTATTTTCATAATGTAAAAATTGGAGGTCAAGTCGAACAGGATTTTGCTTTTTATTTTTTTCAAACGAGATTTTCTTAGACGTTGGGACATGGGTTTAGAAATAATGGAAGTCACTCATTTGCCGCAATCAAGAAGAAGGAACCTCTACACCAGGCGTCCCCAAACTACGGCCCGCGGGCCGCATGCGGTCCCCTGAGGCCATTTATCCGGCCCCCCACCGCACTTCAGGAAGGGGCACCTCTTTCACTGGTGGTCAGTGAGAGGAGCACAGTATGTGGCGGCCCTCCAGCGGCCTGAGGGACAGTGAACTGGCCCCCTGTGTAAAAAGTTTGGGGACACCTGCTCTACACCCTCAGATAGAAGAAGGAAGACCCCCGAGAAAGGATTTACAATTCTACAGGGCAGTTAAAGAAAAAGTCATAGCTAACATCAAATCCAGAACAAAGCCACCAAGCCAAGTCCTTCTGGAGACCTGGGCGGGACACCCTGTGTCCCCGCCTGGGTGAGTGGGACATTGGGGTGCCTCAGATTCTACTTGCCATTGTCCATGGCACTCAATGAATGAAACCCCACCTGGGCAATTCAGCCGGCCTAGCCACCTGAGGCAAATCAAACGCAACCTGAAAAGCGAAGTCAGCCCAGTGCAGCCCACTGGTGGCTTCGGAGGCCCCCGGGTGCACAGAGCAGCGTGGGAGGGGGACCTCAGCCCTCACCACACCTCTGCTCTCACCTGGAGAGCCCCCTGCTGGCCAGCGCTGCCCTGTCCTCTGCCTGCTTGGCTCCCTCCAACCACACACACCAGGGAGCCCAGCGAACACCCAGGCTTGGGTACCGGCTCCACCAGGGGCAAACCCTCGAGGCCTGGCCGTCCATCTCTGTAACCCGAAGCTTCCTCACCTGAGCAGGATCCATCCTCTAAGTCCTCAGCGCAGCGCCGGGCCTGTGCAATGGCAGGTACACAGCGGCCCTCAAGGCTTGCCGTCACTACCTTCATAAGCGCCACATCCCAGACCCTCTCTGTCCCCTCTTCCTTGTGACCCTCAGGACAAGCCTGAGAGCAAGCTGAGAGGACAACAGGCCACAATCTGCCCAGGGCGTGGCCACAGTGGGTCTGACCTGGGGAGCCCCTGTCCCGCATGAGACTAGCACAGCCTGGATTTACAAGCCCCACTGTTTGGGTTCAAATTCCAACTTCACCACTCACAGGGTGTGCGACCTTGGGTCACTCGGCCACTTTTCTGGGGCCCCCATTTCCCTCCTGCTCCATGGGGGAGTGGGGAATAGAATCCCGTGGGGGTTCTTGTGAAGGCCTGAGCTGAGAACATCCAATCTTCATTGATTACACGAATGTGCTCAAAACAGCGCCTAGGGCACAGAGGCCGCCTTCGCCATTTCCCCACGCTCTCTGATCGCATGGGTCGCTCTCTTCCCCCTGTCCCTGGAAAGGGCTGTGGATGGGTAGGGGTGGAACCAGAGGCTGCCGTCGCCCCCACCGTTTTGGGTCCTGTCCCCCAGTGCAGCCTCTGCCATCGCCCTCAAGAGCATTTATCACGCATTTACTACGGATCTTTAAAACGAAAGCTGCAGGGGAGGATAATTAACTTTAATAGGAGCCGCCTTCGATTTAAAGCCACAGGGGGGAAGTAATTAGATTTAACAGAAGCCACGGCTTTCTGAACCAAGACACACAGCGTGAGGGTCCCTGGTCTAGAAAGCCTTTGGGATGATGTCTTTTTGTAAAGACTTTCCTGGTGACATTTGCTGCGCCCTCAGTCATTAACGCCAGTCACTGACTGGAGGATGAATGTGGCCTCTGCTCATTGAAATTCATTAGACCTGGAATTTCTCTTGCGGTGTCTCCTCCTCCCGTCTGCCCTCCCCATCGCCTGCGCGCTGGGCCAGGAGAGCTCTGCCCCAAAACCCCAGTCCTGGGGCCTCACATCCAGGAGCTGGGGGTTTGGAAGAATAACAAGAAATAATTAGAGTTAAGCCAAAGACCCCTGGGACGACCCCTTTATTCCCCGCCAGGGTATTCTCTGGATGTCGTTTTCTTTATTTGCAGGAACCACTTCATGAGTGGGCCCTGTTTCTTTCTTCACCTGGCACCTGTCTGGACGCCAGGAGCGCTTATCAGCGTTCCTTACCCCCTTCCCGACTCCTCCCCAGCAGGTGAGGCGTTCCGGCCCTCCCCGACCGTGCTGCTCCGGTCATCCCGCGAACTCAAGGACAAGACCCCCGACACATGACAGCTCAAAAACCGGGAAACGGAGGCCCAGGCCTCCCTCTTCGAGCCCCTGCCTCCACCACCCTCCAGCGGAGAAGCTGGGGTTCAGTCCCGCCGCTGACCCGCCCACCCTGCCCGGGGAGCCTCCTTCCCGGTACCCTCTTTCGGGTGGCATCCCGGCACAGCCCCGGTGCCCGGGCGAGCGCGGAGCAGGCAGGGGCGCGCGGCCAGGAGCGCAAAGCCCAGGCCGATGCCGAGGCTGCGGCGCCACCTACAGCCCGCGCGGCTCCCATTGTTTCCCCGCCCGCGCCGAGAGCGCGCCGGGCCCCCCGTCGGGGGGCAATTAACCCGGATAAAAGGGGCGGGGCAGGAATTGCAGGAAGATAAAGCGGAGAGAACCCGAGACGGTCGGAACTGCGGGTGAAATTCTATTGGACGACTTTGGCGTCAGATGTGCGGGGCTGGGAAACTCGCGCGGCGGGGCCGGGGCGGGGGGCGAACGGCCTTTTAAGAGGAAGGGCCCTAAGGCCGAGGTGAGGCTTTTCCCGACAGAGAGTGAAGGAGGCGAAGCTCGGGGGCCCCCCAGCCTCTGACCCCGGGGTTCCTGACCCCGCCCCTGCTAGTGCCCCGCGCCCAGCGCATCCGCCGGGAGCCCCAGGCCTGGGGGAGGGGCCCCAGTGGTGGATTGCTTTACAGAATCAAACTCTCCCAGCCGAGAACCTCCGGGCCGTTGCCCGGTGAGGAGTTCCCCGAAACCCGGCCGCTGAGCGAGGCCTCCTCCTCCAGCAGATCGGAACAGCCTGGGCGGGGTCACCCGGGCTGAGACGAGAAGCCGCCGCCTGCTTGACTGCCGCGGGTCCCGGGGGCGGGGGGGCTGGGGCCGGAGGCGGAGTGTGAGTGGGTGTGTGCGGGGGGCGGAGGCGTGATGCAATCCCGATAAGAAATGCTGGGGTGTCTTGGGCTCCTACGCGGGCCCCGCGAGGCGCTATATAAGACTGCGGGTCCGGGGCTGCCGCGCCGTCGGAGCAGGAGTGCTGCGTCCAGGATCGCGGGCCACGGCCATCCCGACCCGGCACTCACAGCCACGCAGCGCATCCCGGTCGCCTCCCTGCCTCCCTGCCTCCCGCACCCCCGTCGCCGGAGCTGCGCCTAGTGCTCCAGGGAGGTGCCATGCGGAGCGGGTGTGTGGTGGTCCACGCCTGGATCCTGGCTGGCCTCTGGCTGGCTGTGGTCGGGCGCCCCCTCGCCTTCTCCGATGCGGGGCCGCATGTGCATTACGGCTGGGGCGACCCCATTCGCCTGCGGCACCTGTACACCTCCAGCCCCCACGGCCTCTCCAGCTGCTTCCTGCGCATCCGCAGCGACGGCGTCGTGGACTGCGCGCGGGGCCAGAGCGCGCACAGTGAGTGCCCGCCGAGACCTCACCCCCGCCCCGCCGCGCGCACCCCACCCCAGCGCCCTTCCTTTGCCACCTTAGGCTCCCGAGGACCCCTCAACTCCTAGGAACCCCAAGTTTTGGTACCTGAGCGTTAGAATCCCTCCCTTAGTCCCCAAACAGCGTGGGACACTAGAGAGGGGCACAGGCGCGTGGACAGACCCCACCCACTTGGTGCGGGCCTGGCGGATCCAGGCTGCAGCTTCTCGCTTTCCCTGCGCCCAGGTTTGCTGGAGATCAAGGCAGTCGCTCTAAGGACCGTGGCCATCAAGGGCGTGCACAGCTCGCGGTACCTCTGCATGGGCGCCGACGGCAGGCTGCAGGGGCTGGTAAGTGTCCCTACGGGGAGGATGCCCTGGGGTAGGGGACCGACCACTGTCCCTGGGCAGAGGCCTGAAGGGGAGAAAGGTGCTGGTTCGAATCCAGGGTTTCCTCACCTCCTCCGCCCAGATCCGGGTGTAGCTTCGAGGGGAAGATTGCAAGGATCGACTAAGCGCGTGTCCCACGATTTTCTAGGGAAATTTAGGGTCTCAGCCAGTAGCTGGAGCAGAGGCAAAAGCTGTCTTTGCATTTCCAGTTGAGCCAAAGGCCCGCCCAGCTGGACCGAGGAAACCCATTATTCGGCCCCCTTTGATACTAAGCAGGAAAACCCACCTCGGGCTTTTTCAGCCTCTGCCTGCGCGTGTGTGGTCCTCGCCTCCGTTTCCCTCCCTCCGACATAAAAATAAGAAAAAAAGAACAGAAAAGAAAAAAGAGGGTCTATCCACAACTTTCGTTTAAGAACAAATCGATTATCAAGCAAGGCAGGAGACAGTGCATTGGGGATTGGGGAGTTTTTTTAGAACGAATTTGTAATCCACCAGGAGCATGGTGTGGCTCAGACGCAGATGCGCTGGAGTCACGTTCCACCCGAGGAGGGCTTTTCCTCCCGCGGGCCTCACCTGTCCTGTCGACGCGTTCCGGCGGGGGCGGGGGTGGGGGCTGGCTGGGAAGGCCCAGGTACCCGCAGAGGTCCCCGCCGGAAATGTATGAGCGCCGGGGCTCTGATGGCCAGGAACAAAGGCTGGGAGTTCAAAGGAACGAACCCGCGCCCCTCCCGCGGCCCCGCGCGCAGAGGAAGGAGGCTGTGTGAGGTCTGGCCCGCGCAGGCCTCACGGGCAGCCCTGGGCTCCCTGGCGGAGCAGGGGCCAGGGCGGGCGTGGCCGCCCCTGCCCCGGCCCCCCACCCCAGAAAGGATACAGAGGCGGGGCCGCCTCCAGCCCAACCAGCTCCTTTGTGAACAGTGGGACAAAGCTTTTTAGATCTCCAAATTGCTCGGCGCTCGTGCGGTGCTCCGTGTATTCAGAGTGCCTGTTTCAGATTTTATGGCGGAGCCGCGCGCTAGAAGACTGCAGGGAAAGCGGGCGGTCGGCCCGCTGAACTCTGACTCCCACCCAGAGCCGCCCAAACCCACCCTTGCAACTTTAATTTTAGCATTTATTATTGGGGGGCGCTCCTAGGGCAGCAGGGGACGTCAACCTAACCCGCCATTCTGTGCAAATTGGGGAGGGGGGCGCAGATCACCTAAAATCCATTTGTACTTTTTTTTTTTTTCTGAGAGTCTTTCTCTGTCACCCAGGCTGGAGTGCAGTGGCCAGATCTCAGCTCACTGCAACCTGTCCCTCCCGGATTCAAGTGTTTCTCCTGCCTCAGCCTCCCATGGAGCTGGAATTACAGGTGCCCAGCACCATGTCCAGCTAACTTTTTAATTTTTAGTAGAGACGGGGTTTCACCATGTTGTCCAGGCTGGTCTCGAACTTCTGACCTCGAGTGATCCGCCTGCCCCGGCCTCCCAAAGTGCTGGGATTACAGGCATGAGCCACCGACCTGGCCCCGTTGTGCCTCTTGATCCCCTGTGCATGGTCTTAACACGGATTGAGGATCTTTTTCTTTCTTTTTTTGAGATGGAGTCTAGCTCTGTCCCTCAGCCTGGGGTGCAGTGGTGTGATGGCTCACTGCAACCTCCACCCGCTAGGTTCAAGAAATTCGCCTGCCTCAGCCTCCCAAGTAGCTGGGACTACAGGCGCACACCACCACGCCCAGCTAATGGTTTGTATTTTTAGTAGAGATGGGGTTTCACCATGCTGGCCAGGCTGCTCTGGAACTCCTGACCTCGTGATCTGCCCGCCTCAGCCTCCCAAAGTGCTGAGATTATAGGCATGAGCCACCACACCCAGTCTCTTTCTTTCTTAAATAGAAATTCCACATTCTTCTAGAAGCTTGAAGTCATTTCATTTTTGTATGGAGACAGTGATACTAATTTCTCCCAAAGGACTAGCTGAGTAAATAGAAGCAGGGCTCCAGTCATTCGGTTTTCTATTCCTTGTTTTATCAGTTGGCATTTCTGGGAGTTTGGGAGAAATCGTTCGTGCTGTCCGGTGCGTTGTCCCAGCTAGCCGTGGGCTCGGCAGGAGCCTGGTTGCTGCAATGCGTCTCTTATCAGGAGCTTATTGGCACAGGCACATCCTCACTCACCTGCCGTTCAGTGACCTTTGCAGACTTAGGCAGAAACCTGACTGATGCCAGCCTGTGTTTACTGCCTGTCCTGAGTCGTCAAGGGGTCATGACACCAGTGTGGGGCTGCACTTGCCCACTGGCACCTCTCAACCCCGTGGACTATGCGTGTTCTAAGACCAGGGACTGGCTTCCCTCAGCACCCATTTCCGGCCTGGCCTGGGGGAGGGGCTGCTGAGATCTGGCTCCTGGCGGCGGGCCTGGAAGGCCTTTGGTGACTAAATGCAGGAGACAGGAGTGCTGATGGTTCTTAGAACTGCTGCAGACCAGAAGGCCTTAGAATGATAAAGGCACACAGTGATTTCAGAGATAGGTGGGGAACCGGTGCGTTAGTCCGGGCTCCAGATCGATTACACGTCATTGAAAAGACCTATCTGGAGATGATAACCCCGTGTTTCCGTGTTTCCCAAAGTGCCAGTGAAATCCCCAGGAACTTTTTAAACGCCAGGAGTTATGTATTTAATGCAAAGCGTAAGGGAAACGTGGACAGCCTTCCTGTGAGTTGATGGATATTATTGCTCAGGACAAGACTCTTGAAAAAGTGAGGTGATTTAGAGGAAATTATTTGGGTCTATGTGTAGTATATATGTAGTCTTACATATATGCATAAAATGTACATATATGAAATATATACCTCAATTTTGTGTGTGTGCATGTATATATATAAAGATTATAAAGAATGTATAAAGATATCTAAATATATATTTAATGTATTAATGTTATATTAATATAATGTACATATTATATATACTTACATGTACAGTACATTTATATGTGTGTGTTGCGTTTATGTGTATGTATATATATATTTACATACACACACAAGCATATATATACATATACACATATATATGGGGTTTTTTTTTGAGACAGGGTTTTGCTCTGTCACTCAGGCTAGAGGGCAGTGGCATGATCATTGCTCACTGCAGCCTTGAAACCCCCCCACGCCCCGACTCAACCCATCCTCCCACCTCTCAGCCTTCCCAGTAGCTGGGACTACAGGCTCCCACCTCCACGTCCCTCTAATTGTTGTGCTTTTTGTAGAGATGGAATTTTACCATGGTGCCCAGGCTAGTCTCAAACTCTGGTTCAGGTGATCCACCTGCCTGAGCCTCCCAAAGAGCTAGGACTACAGGCATGAGCTACTGTGTCTGGCCTTAAAATACACTGTATATCACATATATTTATACATGTAAAGGCATATTTTATACATACTTACATATACAGTGTGTATATCAGCAAGCATATATAAAGCATGCAAGTGACACTCATGTGGAAGGCCGCTGCTGGTGGCCAGCAGGGACAGTCCGAAGCACGAATGTTCACGTGCCCCGTGTTCCTCGCCCACTGTGGGTTGCTCAGAGCTGCCTGTTTTCTCTGCAGTTCCAGTACTCGGAGGAAGACTGTGCTTTCGAGGAGGAGATCCGCCCCGACGGCTACAATGTGTACCTATCCGAGAAGCACCGCCTCCCGGTCTCCCTGAGCAGCGCCAAACAGCGGCAGCTGTACAAGAAACGAGGCTTTCTTCCGCTGTCCCATTTCCTGCCCATGCTGCCCAGAGCCCCAGAGGAGCCTGATGACCTCAGGGGCCACTTGGAATCTGACGTGTTCTCTTCACCCCTGGAGACTGATAGCATGGACCCATTTGGGCTTGTCACGGGACTGGAGGCGGTGAACAGTCCCAGCTTTGAGAAGTAACTCAGGCCAGGCCTGGGCCTCCTCACTGCGCCTGGGGGCTGTGGAACCGGCAGAGTGGGGGCTGTGCGTCTACAAGAACCGTCCTGAGTCCGCGCTCTGTTCAGCTTTAGGAAGAAACATCTAGAAGGTGTATATATGCAGAGTTATCCATTGGCCATGCCAGTTTCTAGCTGATAGCCTTGGCTGAGCATAACATTGGAAGCCTGACGCCTGCCCAGCTTCCCATCCCACTCCCCCGAGGTTGCCGGACGAGGCTTGAACGCCTGCACCGATCGGGAACTTACTTCCTTTGGAAACATTCCTATGTTGAGCTGAAATTCTCTAATTTTTTTCTCATCACTTCCCCAGGAGCAGCCAGGAGACAGGCAGTGGTTTTAATTTCAGGAACAGGCGATCAGCTCCGTAAAACAGCAGGTAAATCTGCCACATCTCACCTGGGATCGCTCTCTCCTTTCGTGAGAGCTGTGGATGCTGTCCTGAGAATAACTGCTGTCCCAGATGTCACTGCCTCCACCTCCCAGCCCACCTGGCCCTCTACCGTCCTCACACGTCTCCCCGTGGACTGGGGCTTCCTAGGCCCCTGCTTTATATCAGCCTGCACTTCTCATTCGAAAATCGGGAAAAGAAAAGCTCTGAAGACCTCAAGTCCTGCCAGCGACTTGCGGTGCGGAAGCAGCGGGGAAAGACTTCCACCCTTTTCCCCAGCACTTAGTTTTCCGACATGCTATTTATGAGTAATTTATTTTGATACGTACATCTCTTATTTTCTTACATTATTTATGCCCCCAAATTATATTTATGTATGTAAGTGAGGTTTGTTTTCTACATTAAGACGGAGTTTGTTTATATCAAAAGTCGCATTCTGTTATCCGCCTGGAGTGTTGGGGAGGGCGCGGAAGGGGCTGGTGGGGACAGTGCCGTCCACAGGAGGAAACCCTTGATGTGTTTGCCCCTTGACACCAAAAGCTTGGGTGAGAAGTTCACCAGGTCTGGGCTAGCCAGCACTAGTGGCAGAGGCTGGTTCCGGCCCTGCTGTCCTGCCCTTTCCTCATGCCGAGGGGCTTGGCTTCCTCAGACCACCTTCCCTTTAGCAATCTCAGTGGTTAGGGCGGCCTCTCCGCCAGGAGTGTTTTAGGCTGCAGGAAACAAACACCAAGGAACACAGAACTCAGCCCGGGCCTCTTGCCCTCTGCCCTCTTCACTGCGGGGGGAAGGTGCTCCTGCGGCCCCCACCCACTAGATGCCCGTAGCAACCCCCAAGTTGCAAGGACCAAAATACCTCCAGAAGTTGTTACATGTTCTTGGGGGGCAAAATCATCCTTGACGGAGGACCACTGGCCGGAGCAGATAGATGATTTTGTCCAGCAACAAATCCAGAGGGACCCAATGGCCCAGCGATGCCCAGGCTGTGCCCTCTGAGCTTCCCTCCGTGTCTCTGTTGTGCCCTGGCCTGGTCTCCACAGGGCTGCTGTGGCTTCAGCTGAGCGCTCTGTACTCGGGGAGAGGGAATCATTTCACCTGGGCCTCTCTCACCAAGAAAGCCAAAACTTCTTTAGACCCTTTCAGCAAATTCCGGTTACATCCTAGGAGCCAGGCTTGCACCACAGGGCCAGGCCAGCCTCAGCTGCAAGTCAAGCTGGGAAGACAGGAATTAGTGGTCGGGGTGACCAGGTCCACAGCCGGAGTGCAAGTGGAGCAGATGCAACCACAGACCAAAGTGTGCACGAAACATGATTCCAAGTGAGTGTTTGCCAGGGATGAGGGCCGCTGGAGAGAGCGGGGAGGAGGGTCGGGTCGCTCACGGCACTAGTTCCCAGGTGCTGCCTTTGGCAGTGAGGGGGATAAGGTCGTTGCTCAAGCCTATGAAGGCCATTTCAGATAAGCCTCCCAGCCCTCCAGCAAAGGGACCTCATTCTCACTGATGACACGCCCAGGACACCGAGAGTTGACCCTTGGGCCATTCTCTGTCTCCATTTGCTAATCAAGATGCCCTCTTGGCCGGGCGCAGTGGCTCACACCTGTAATCCCCACACTTTGGGAGGCCAAGGCAGGCAGATCACAAGGTCAGGCATTCGAGACCAGCCTGGCTAACATGGTGATACCCCGTCTCTACTAAAAATAGAAAAAAATGGGCTGGGCGTGGTGGCATGCACCTGCAATCCCAGCTACTTATGAGGCTGAGGCAGGAGAATCACTTGAACCTGGGAGGCGGAGGTTGCAGTGGGCAGAGACCGCACTCTAGCCTGGGCAACAGAGTGAGCAAGACTCGTTCTCAAAAAAACAAAGATGCCCCTATCACTCTTTGAGCCCCTCGCCACGTGGCCATGGTGACTGGAGAGCTGGCAGGCAGGGCTGGATGACACTTGTGGACACAGCCTTCTCTACGTTTGGCAGGGCCAGACACGGAAGGCACTCGCCTGGAGCCACACAGCCTGGGGGCAGCACAGGGGCTGTGGGCAGGGCCCTGCCCACATGAGGCTCTGCCCTGCATATACCATTTCGCTGGATCCCTCTGCAGCCCCACCATGCAGACCCTGTCCTGCTGCGGACATGAGGTTAACAGTGTCTGCATGGTGGAGCTATAGAAGAATTCAGTGAAATGGTGTCTGCGTGACGCCTGGCACAAAGCCAGCCGCCTACCCACAGCAGCCCTCGCCAAGGATACAGCCAGCTGTCCAGAGTTATGATGTCCACCGGTTCTCAAAGTTGGCTGCTCACTGGGGTCACCTCGGGAAAAATACGACGGCTGGAACCCACTCATGGAGATTCTGGGTTTTGTTTTTATTTTTGGTTTTGAGTTGGAGTCTTGCTCTGTTGCCCAGTCTGGAGTGCAGGGTGCAATCTCAGCTCACTGCAACCTCTACCTCCTCCTGGGGTTCAAGCAGTTCTCTGCCTCAGCCTCCCGAGTAGTCAGGATGACAGGCACATGCCACCACACCCAGATAATTTTTGTAATTTTAGTAGAGATGGGGTTCACCATCTTGGACAGGATGGACTTGAACTCCTGACCTCGTAATCCACCCGCCTCGGCCTCCCAAAGTGCCGGGATTACAGGCGTAAACCACCACAGCTGGCCGATGCTGGGTTTTTTGTTTTCCTTTGTTTCGTTTTGTTTTTTGAAACAGTCTCACTCTGTCATCCAGGCTGGAGTGCGGTGCGCAATCACCGAACGCTGCAGTCTTCACCTCCTGGGCTCAAGTGATCCTGCTGCCTCAGCCTCTCAAGTAGCTGGGACCGAAGACCCAAGCCCAGCTTGTTGTTTTTTTTTGTTTGCTTGTTTGTTTGTTTGTTTAAATTGTAGCAATGGGGTCTTGCTATATTGCGCAGGCTGGTCTTGATCTCTTGGGCTCAAGTGGTCCTCCTGCCTGACCTCCCAAAGTGCTGGAATGATTGGTACGAGCCACTGTTCCTGGCCAAGACTCTGATTTAATGGGAATGGGTGTGGTCTGGACATCGGGATTTTTTTTTTCAAAGCTCTCCTGTGGTTCTGATGTGTAGGGAACCACACGGAACCAGTTCGAATTCCGTTATTTGTGCTCTGAAGACCAGCACTTCAGGTGTTACCCACGCTCCTGCACCTCCTACCCACTTCAACATTTGGAATGAGGTACAAGAACCTTACCTTTACTTAGGTCTCTTTCTCTACTTTTAAAGTCTCATTACATTGTCAGGGAGAAATGAAGAAAGAGGTTTATCAGCAGCTCTCTCTCTGGAGACTTCTTCCTTCTGCACGGCTGAGGATAACAAGTAAATGTAAGGCTTCATAAACTAATTCACACTAGAGTGTTGATGGTTAATATGTTTGCTCTCTAGGCCACATTTTTACTGACCTGGCAGCTGCGAAGCCCTGAAGACAGACTGTGGGTGGTGGAGGCATCCTGGCAGGAGACGGGGAAGATGGTTTTTCTGAGGCTACATCTTAGCACCCACCCTCCCCCACCCTTCCTCTGCTCCTCATAAAGAGGTAGCCTTGTTCCTTCCTGAACCCCTGACCCTGCTTTAGATAGCGTTGCCAAATAAACAACAATCCAGCATCCAGAGCTAAATTTGAATTTCAGATGAGCAATGCATTTCTTTAGTAGGAATACAGCGTGTGCAGTATTTGGAACACATGCATACTAAAAAGTTACTTGTTGCTGATCTGAAATTCAAATGGAATCGGGTGTCCTGTGTTTTCTCTGGCAAGCCTAGCTGTAGGCCCACACCACTGACCTGGAGTGAACAATAAGAGAGGAAGGGGGCAAAAGTCTTTATGTTGAGCAAGCGTCTCTGCGGGTGAGAATCCAAAATGGAATTCAGAAGATCCCATGGGCAGGGAGGCCTCGAGTGAATCCCACTCTTTCCTCCGGCCTGCTTCTCCATCTGTAAAGCGAGAGCCCTTTCGTCGCCTCCAGGCCTGTTCACTCATGGAGATTCTGGCAAAGCGCCAGGAGCTGGGCAAGGCCTCTCATCCAAGAAGGCTGGAACCCAAGACCCTGGCATTAGGACTCTCGTGGTTGCAAGTGACAGAAAACACGACTCAGGCCGGGCGCCATGGTTCACGCCTGTGATCCCAGCACTTTGGGAGGCTGAGGCGGGCAGATCACAAGATTAAGAGATGGAGACCTTCCTGGCCAACATGGCGAAACCCCGTCTCTACTAAAAATACAAAAATTAGCCAGGCGTGGTGACGCGCACCTGTAGTCCCAGCTACTCAGGAGGCTGAGGCAGGAGAATCACTTGAACCTGGGGGGAGGAGGTTGCAGCGAGCCGAGATTGTGCCACTGCACTCCAGCCTGACCTCAGACAAGACTCTGTCTCAAAAAGAAAAAAGAAAAGAAAATACAACTCCAATTGACTTGAGGTGGGAAAAAAATGGAACTTACTGGCTCACCTTGCTGGAAAGGCCAGCTGGTGCCAGGCTTTAAGTGTGCGGGATCTGGCCGCTGGCACGACACCAGGCATCACCTGTCTGTCTGTCAGCTTTCAGGTATCTTTTCCCTTTGTGGTGACAAGCTGGCCCCAGCAGCCACGGCAGAGATGATGGCCAATTCTCTTCTCTCACAACAACTCCAGCAAGAGCCCCGGACGGGGTCTCAGGGATCCTTCCTGTGTCCCTTGTTCATCTCAGCTGGGCACAGGAGGCTCCGACCGGCTGGGCTGTGTCCCCTCCTGCAACCCAGGGAAGAGTCAGCCCCCATGGGATGCGAGGACTAATCAGGGAGAAACACTTCCCCGGAGGAAAACCCAGGGCCCAGGTATTCCTCAAGCTCCTACCATTCAGCATCCACTGGGCAAGCTTCCCTCTTGGGACTGGGAAAGGCCAGCCAGAAATGTTCTCTAAGACCAAAGAGGAGAGGCAGTGGGTGGGGACAGGGCCACCCCAGATGCAGGAATTGTCCACTCCGTTACGGCGGGCGGGGGACAGAGCCCTTCCTTCCTCAGCCTCACACTCCCCCCG